ATAAGCGTGTATTTTAAAATATATTAAAATACAAGGTTTAAAATTAATTATCTGAATTAATCGATTATTTAATTAATCATTTAAACATTTAAAATCAATTATTTAAACAATTAATTAATTAATCATTTAAACATTCAAAATTAATTATTTAAACATATATATATGTAATCATTTAAACCAATTATGTATTTAATATTTATCTTTTCATTAAATTAATTATTAGATCCATAAGAATATTCTAAAAATCTGGATCTGAACTGAGTTCACATCGTGACGGATGCACTGTCACATCATGAAGTCAGTTTTTGTGAAAAAGTTTTGTTCGATTTAACAAATGTGTTTTCATCGTTAGACACACCAACCATGATCTGATACCATTGATCAGTTTATTAGGTTACAAAAATATGCACAATGCGGAAAAACACTTAACAATTAAGAAGGGCACATGCAACCTAAAAGGATTTATGTCTTTCACATTAAAGCAACATACTTTGAAAAACAAAATCTAGCATAAACCCTAGGAATTTTGAAATTAAGAAATCAAGGTTAAGGGTTTACATAATTTCATTTCTTGTAGCAAAGAAATCACTTCAATCCTTCCTTTGAAGAGCTTGGAAAGCTAGCACCAGAAGGATGATGCCTCTAATGGCTCACACTCAAACGTTAGAACTAGAAGACAATTGAGGAGAGAAGAGGAGGGGTATAAATTTCGTTCACCGCCTTTAAGGGAAGTTTATTCTCAAATTTAATGACCCAATGAGTCATATTTATAGCTAGGCATCAGAAGGATAAACCCTTATTTGAATAATAAAATATTCAGATTTTATCTATTCAAGGCAGTTATCCTTATCAGCTTCAGTATGCTTCCAGAAACCCTAACACCCCCCCCCCCACCCCACCACCACCACCACCACCACCACAAAATCGTTCACCTCATAGAACCCTCTAGAATTTTCTTTTTCCTTGCTCAACTATGAATAATTTCAATTCACCCTTGCACCTTTAATTACTTCCATTTAATCCCAAATTAATTCCAAATTAATTTCTATTAATAATTAAGTAATTCTTATTGATGTCATATTAATTTATTAATCAAATAAATTAGCAAATCAATTATTTTAACAATTCATCTAATATTAATTTATTAATAACATAATAAATTAACAGATCAATTATATATTTCCAACTAATATATTAATTATATAATATATTAACAAATCATTTCCTCATAATTTCCAGTTAATTTATTAATCATATAATAATCTAATAAATCATCATTTCTCTACAAATGTAATTGTAATCAAGTTCTAGTTATGAGAGCAACCCAAAAAGGATTTTTCTTCTATTTGAAAGTTTATACCAATTTAGTTATGATCTTAGACACCTTAATCCAACAATACTTGCTTAAATTTTATCAAAGAAACTATTAAGAATATACATCAATATTCCCACCACATGTCCGAACACACTCACCTAGAATGATATACTATGTGTCTTCTATTCCTTAAGTATGAGCTTTCCTCATTGAATTCAACTTCTAATGTTATACTATAAGGGAATTAGGTATTTCACATTTAAGGAATTAAATGGACTTTAAACCAATCATCGTATACTTTTACACTAAGCCTCGAGCTAGACCTTTAGTCAAATGGTCCGCCAAATTTTGTTGTGGCCTCACAAACTCCATGAAAATTACAACATTCATGATTAAATTCCTAATCATCTTATGTCTAAGATCCAAGTATCTAGACTTCCTATTATACACTTGGCTATAAGCCTTAGCCAAAGTGGCAGCTTTGTCACAACAAATAACTACAGTTGAAACTAACTTTGACTAAAACGAAATCTCATAGACCAAATCCCTTAGCCATTCCGCCTCTTTATTGGCCGCAAATAAATTTGCATTTAATAGAAAACTCTCTGAATTTGTCGCCAATGTTAAGTACTAGGATTTCTAGTGTACTTTAGATTTAATCATTGTTGGCATTGATCATTGATACTTTTTCCATCGATGATTGATAATTACGTTTATGAGGCTTATCTGATTTGAAGTTATATTGTGTTGATATAATTTTTGCACTTGTTTAACATAGGTCTTTGTCATGTTCTATGTGTATATATAATGGAAAACTAAACATTAGCCCTACACTGTATTGCACATTTTCCTATTCTGTCCCTAAACTTATTTTCCTGTTTTATGAGGGAATAAAGTTAATTTTTTTGGGGTTTAATTGGTCCCTTTGGACAAAATGAAGGGGCAACCCAGTTACTCCTTTGCCACATAGCCGCTTGTTGACTTTGAAAAGTCTAAAAGAACTGTTATAAGGGGAATCAGTGACAACTTGTCACTAAAGAAAAAGACGATCCCAAGAGGACTTGTTTCTGGTGAGTTGGGTGGTGGCGGATTGTCATAGCTACCACTACAACAGTGATCTCGTCACTCTACATCCTCCCCCCTCTATATCTAAACCTTCAACAATTGGATCATAAACAAGCATTTTGATTGGGAAAATAAAATCATTGAATTTCCAAATAGATAACATATTAACATATAATGAAGGATAACTCAATTTATATCTCCATGCCAACTCAAATAGATATCAATTGCACTAAAATGGTAGTAATAAAATTCATCAAGCCTCAAATTTTCTAGTGTGTTTGAATCGAGTATTAAGAACGAAATCAAGAACAGAAAGCATTAAGAACACAGATGTAAAATTATGTTTGGCTCGTTGATTGCGTCTGAACAAGTACACAAGAACACAAGAGAGTAAAAGCTCAAAAGTTCAAAAGTTACTCTCAACTCCTATACATACCCAATTTATAGGGTGATACAGACACATACAAAAAATGCGTAAGGGTTAAACATTTAAGCTTCGACCTCTAAAACTGCCTTACATAATACATACATTCGAAGTGTATAACTTCGACATCAACACTACCCAGACCTAAACGTACTTCCACACCTCACTATATATTTCGAACCTTAAGATCTCCCCTTAGTGAGAAGTGTCGAACTTATGCCATCATCTTTATGGTCTGTTGAAGTATCCGGTGAACCTCTATATACCAAATAATCGTCTTTCGAACTTCAGCTTTATCTTCTGCACTATCCTCTTGAAATTTTGGAGACGAACCAGAAGACTTGTATATTGAGAGTTCATGTACCTCTCCACATCATAAACTTGAAATAAAAATTTAGTCATCTTCCCATTTTTGTTCTTTCCAAGAAAAATAACTCCGAAGGGTTTATGCACAATCTCCCCATCAACATAGTCTTTGAGATTAACCTTCCCTTTCAGCATGGACTTAGGAACCTTCGAAGTCCTATTTACAGCCATTTCTAACTCGATATCCGTCACTGCCAAGAAATCATAGTAGTTATATATGAATACTTTGATATGAGCAAACCCTATCAAGAAATCATCCTTGTTGTTTTCCTGAAGCTTCGACACATCAACAGTGCTTAGAATCTTTGTCACAATGATAAGGTCATTCAAGTTCATAAGAGGGAAGTCTGCAATCGTTAAGTGACATGCTACATTATTCGCTCTAACCACATAATAGTGAAAGTTCTGCAATAAACCTTCGAACAAACTCTCTCTTGAAATGTTCAACACTTTGACAATCTTAACTGAAGACCAAACTTCCTTTTAACTGCATGGAATCTCATATTTAATCTCATATACTCACCTTCGTCTTACAACCTATCAACCAGCTGATATTGAGCAGAAACAAACATCATGTGATTTATTGGAAAATCCAGTTGATTAAAGTCAGAGTTTTCAATCTCATAAATTTTCTTTGGAATTTTTCCAAAATCATGCATCTTCCATGCTGAAACGACTTGTTCAGTTGTTTCATAACACCAATGTTTACTGGGATCACCCTTGTTTACACCTGGTGGATCATGTTGTCATTGTCTCAAAATGATGTTAATCTGTCATTGCCTTTCCATTTCCATTTCCAACTTCTTCTTTTTCTCTTCTTCAGAAAGAGTAATTTCAATGGCCTTCCCTTTATCTCCCTTATCATCTTTTGAATAAGGTGGTTTCGAACTTGAACTTGATCCCCCAGATCTTTCTCCAATACAATGCCTTTCGTCATTGGTCTCGATGTTGTAGTTGTAGAAGATGTTGTTAGAGAAACAGGAAGTGATGTTGGAATTTGATTCATCATCACGTTCCCTACAACTTTACCTTGATCGGTATCTTTCGAAGGGCCAACACCTTTTTCTCCCCCTTGCACCACATGTTTCGTAGGTAGGGAATTTGTTGGCAACAGAAGCACCAACATAAGAAAGGGTTCAAGCTCTCCTTGATGTTGGATTCGATAGAAGAAATCATCTTCGAGATAGATTCCTGAGAGACAATAGATTGTTGAGACAAATCAAGCTTCGAAAGATATTCTTTTAAGCTTCCCAAAAACTCCTCCGGCTTTTCAAACACTTTAGAATCTTTTTCTGTTTTGGCATCGAACTTGGTTGAAAATGAATGCTGATACTCCACAAATTTCGTGATAGCTTCAGAAATAACATCCACCTTGCCATGAAGAATGGAGTAATTCTTCTCTATCTTTTCAACTTCCTTTGTTATCTCATATTTAAGCTCTGCCACCTTGAGGTTTACTGATTCCTCCCCCTTCTTGACTTGCTCAACAAAAATCTCATGACGTTCTTTTGCAACATCACGAAGCTTTGTATCCTCATATGCAAAATTTCGAGCATGATGCTTTAAACGTTCATCATGTTTTTTCTTAATCTACTCCATAGCAAGCTTAAGGCGATTCTCCTGAGACTTAAGCATAATATCCACTTCAACCCCAAAAACAGAGTTTCGGCCTCCTGTATCAGCTTGAATTTGTAACAACGAATTCAGCTTATGATTGAGAATATTGAATTGTTTCCCTGACATGAGCATGTTATCAGGAATGTTATCTTCTTTAGGATCAAACTGAATATATGCAAAATAAACCATGACAACATCATCTTCAAGGTCATCTTATAGAGCAGTCTTTTCTCCTTCTGTCGATTTCAAAGAGAAAAGAGTTGTGATTGGCTCATGCATTATGTTAGAGAAGGTTAGTGAAATAGTAGAATAAGGAAGTGTAGATGGTATTGGAGAAGAAAAGTATGGTAACGAAGTGGAAGTATCAGTGAGGGTGGTTTCGATGGTAGAGGAAAGAATAAGTGAGCTATGAACAATAGAGTTTTCAATAGAAGATGTACCATGGGCTTTGTTATGCATCATCCCTTCACCCATAGTGACATTTGTGTCCATATGATATATGTTCACATGGATGCCTGAGGTTCGAGCCTCCTTCGTAACGGACTCAGTTGCCGAAACCCCGGGTGGTATGACAGTTGCCTTCACAGGGATGGTAATAGATGGAGATTCACTCAAATTAGTGGTTGTATCCATATTAGATATGTGTACATTGCCACCAAGACTTCCAGTATCCTCGAAAGTCGACTTAACTGGAGAGTCCCTTTGAGATGTCTCAAATCCAAATCCAGTTTCATGAAGAATAAGTGACCTTTCGAGTCCACTATCAGGATTAGTTCAACAACAACGTCGTCAAGTGGATCAGCCAATTGTCTCTTCTTCTTGATCTTTTTAACCACTTCGTGAGCTTTGCGTTTCTTCGAGGTAGGTGATACTGGAACAAGAACATCATGAATACGCACACCCCCTCTGTTAAGTTGGGGTTTATGTATTTTCTTTATCCCCTTCGATATAAATCCCACTTTAGGTGAGAAAAAGGGCTCAACATGAACTTCTTCAATGACTGGTGGTTTAGGAGAATGACGAGGTCGATGAGCAGGCTCCTTTGTTCTCTTGAGAATACATGTCTTCGATGGAACTACCTCCTTAGAAACTTGTTTTTCGACACCATCCTGAACACTTTTTGTAACCTCCTTCTCTACTTGCATAGGATCAGATTGTGGTTGTTCAGTCTTCTTCGATTTCATAGAGGCTTTAGCAACCTTCAAAGTGCCTTCATCCCCCTTTGGCAAAAAAACCCCAGCATGAACATTTGGGTTAACAGTTGTCAAATACTGAACAAGAATCGGATTAGCAGGATCAATGATCTGTAACATGGAATCGGGAATTCGAGCTACATTCGGAAAGAGAACTGGATCATCAGTAACAATTTTTGGAGTCTGATACGTAGAAAACTCCGCCTTTGCATCCTCCGATGGAACCAAAATCTCCTCTTTCTCATATACTTCCTTTAAGATCAAGCCCCAATACCTCGCACAAGATAAACCATTCATGACAATGGTATGAGAAATTCATGTACCAAATTCTTCCCATAGTTGTGTGACATAATCTACATTAAGATTATAGTAAAGACCTACAATCATTGCATACGCCTCCAATTTTTCTTTATCAAGCCCTGTACTACAACCAGTCAAGCATCGAAGAAAAATCCCAAATAAAAAATTCCACACACAGGGCAAAGCAGACTGTCAAAACTAACTGATTCCAATGAGTGGGGGTTGATGACCCATCTCATTAAACATGTACACAATATGTTCATTCGTTACTTCATAGAACAGACCTGAATACAGAAGCTTCATGATTTGAGCAAACTGCCGCTTGGTAATCTTGTACAGTTTCTCATTCGTCGGTTGGAATGTAACCACTTTCGTCGTTTTGTTAAACACCGCCGTTGATCCCGCCAATGGTAAACAAGTCTTAGGAACAGAGAAGGAAGAAGACATAATAGTTGAAAGAACAGAGTGATTGAGGGCAACAATCAACATCTACAACTATTCAGGATCAACAATCAACATCTGCAACTGTTCAGGATATTGCGTGACATCTGGTTGTACACGAAAGTTTGAGTTCCAAATCTTCGTCAATGGTTGAGATGTTGCTTCTTCAATGGTGGTATTGGATGGATCAACATGACCACTTGGTGCCGCCATGGTTAGGGTTTGTGAGAATTTTGTGGAAAAACGATTATCTTGAAAGAAGTTTGGTGAAAATTTTGACAAGAGTGCATAAAGTCTTCAAATTAGACCACCAAATTCTTTTTATAATCAACGTAGAATTTGAATTTGAACCGTTCACCAATCAAAATCTGCCACAGGTTGCCTTGGGTATGGGATTGGTTACCGGAAAAGTCGCCACATCATAAAAAGTCATCATCACTTTTCCCTAAAAACCCATGTAAGACTGAACCGTCACATTCGCCAAACGTTTCGTTGATCCCAATGAGATAAGAACCATCACTTGTTTCGAACAGTCATCATAGAGGTTCGTCACCAAAAGAACACTTGGCCTTCGCTATGAGGTAAGGCTCATTCTCTTTTGGGTGTATAAAGCGAAATCATATGCCAGACTTTGCGAAAGCTAGGTTTGAGTTGGTATTACCCAAAACCTCGAGGATTCCAATGCAAGCATGTGACAAAGATATAGCGAGAATCAAATAAATAAATGTGCATATAGTGACATCAAAGAATATCTGATTTAAAAGCAGTTGGATCCTGGGCAAAGATCACTTCATTCGAGATCAGGAGAGATGACGAACTGCTTGTGTGGTTTCCCGTGAATTACAATCGAATACACCTTAATGAGTATCGAAGGGACTCTGTTTGCACAGGTTTCGAAGGTAGGAACAATTTTTTAAAATACAACAACTTAACATAAGTGTGAATTGATTGAACAAAATTACTTGTATGAACAGTGTAGTCAAGAACAAGAGTGACGTTGGATAATATATTAAAGTGGAAAGAGTTCGAAAAGATATTCAGACAGAAATTATATTCCAAAAAAAATAAGATCTGGATCCTGTTGGGCAAAAATGCGGTACAGAAACAAATTTTTTGTTATAATCTTCAACATAAACTTCACCGTCAATTCCATAAGAGTTGGGATTATTGGGTTTCACCATTATCACGGAGAAATGAATCAGGATCATAAACACAGACTTGTGCAATATCTACATCCTGGTTGGTTTATACCATAAATGTCGAGGATATGTTGTGAAGTGTGTGATCGTGAAGAAACATGTTGGTGAAAAATAATGATTTAGAATGCTCACTGTACCTCTGTGAAAGCTATGGGCTTAGCATAAATCTCGTTAGTCAAAATGAGAAGAGAAAGGTAGCTCTTCGACTAATGTGAATATAGCCTAATTGGGAAGGAACACTCGTAGTGAGTGATCCATTAATGCTTCGAAACACATAGAGTCTTTGAGGCTTAAGGTCAACATACAACAGCATGCTTCTAGGGACACCTAACTAGTGCAATAGTTCGTTATCATACATGTCCCTCCTTCAATGTGATCAAATGAGCATTCGCCACCTCGGTATGTTAATACGAAGAGACACAGAAAAGGTTAAACACACAAAATAAAATAAAGGAAATGCTTTTGGATTTTTTTTTTTTTTTTTTTTTTGAAATTTAAAGACAAAAATAAAAAAATCTTTTTGGAAATTTTGTTTTTGAAATTTAAAGACAAAAATAAGAAAATCTTTTTGGACTTTTTGTTTTTGAAATTTAAAAACAAAAATAAGAAAATCTTTTTTGGACTTTTGTTTTTGAAAATTTAAAGACAAAAATAAAGAAAAACTTTTTGGAATTTTTTGCTTTTGAAAATTAAAAACAAAAATAAAGCAAAAACAATTACCAAAGGCATTCGATGTAAGAAGTATCAACTTCCAGAGAAAGTGTACATCGAACACCATTTCTTCCCAGATAGTGAAGGTTGATCTGAACCACTCAAAGGAATTTCGAAACCGAAGGTATTCGAACGCTGAATGGTGAACAGTAACCTCTTAAAACTTTAGCAGTACTTCAACATCTGTTGATTCACGATGATGACAAACCTAGAATTGAGCTTGCATCAATCATTCCTAAACCATTTAAGATCCTTATAAATGATTTCTCAACCAAAGGTTTTGTGAATATGTCTGCAAGTTGATCTGTAGTTTTGACAAATGAACCTCAATGTTACCATCTTCGACATGATCCTTGATAAAATGATAGCAAAGTGATATGTGCTTTGTCTTTGAATGTTGAACCGGATTATGGCAGATGCGTATAGCACTTTGGGAATCACAATATAAAGGGATCTTCTTCATATTGGTTGTGTTATCACGAAGTTGGCTTTGAATCCATATGACTTGAGAAGTGTAAGCTGCAACAGCAACATACTCTGCTTCTGCTGTGGAAATCGAAACACATGTTTGTTTCTTCGATTGGCAACTTACAAGCTTCCCGTCCAAAAGTTGATATCCACCAGTTGTGCTTTTTCTGTCAAGTTGACACCCACCAAGGTCTGCAACAGAAAACTCTTGTATGAAAAATCCAGTCTTCGAAGGGTACCACAACCCCAACGCCACAGTTCCTTTGAGATATAGAAATTGTTGGGTTTTAGTTCAAAAAATAGTTTCATAAACAAGAAAAATATGGCAACGGAAGATTTTGATTTTTGAAATAACATAAACATTTTATACCCGCCAAGGATCTTCTTGCAAGTTATAGAAAGATTAAAACACCAACCAAAGAAGAGGTGAAGAAATAACAACCTTTGTAGTTCTGTGGGTCCTCTCGGGAGGCTTGGAAGTTGATGAAGAATGTGGAACCTTTGAGACACCAACAATGACTCAACTTGATGCAGAATGCTAGTTTTTTGTATAAAACTCTTAAGCTTTGAACCAAACCCAAGTATGGTTCAAAGAGAGCAAAATGCAAGCATCAAATCGTCAAAGTGCAAGACTAGAGAAGATATGGAGAGGGAGGGAGAAACTCTCGGCCATAGAAAGAGAGAATGGGGCAAGAACTTCAAGAGTGGAAGCCTGATATTTATAGTGCTTAAAAGTGAAGTTATTAACCATTGGTTCCTTCAACTTTAGACAAACTTGTCTCCATGTCATAAGTATGTATTTCATGCCTTTAAAGCATGATTAGACAAGTCATACACTTCTTCTTTTTATGCATATCTCGAAAATTGCATAAAGAAGAAGAAAGAAAGTCAATCTTTTATAAACTTTTTTATAAAATATAAACATTATCTTTTAGGAAAAAGACAAAAGGATTCAACTAGTCCAAAAGTTTGTACATGACTTATAAATCATACCATATGATATATAGTAAGTTACTTGCTAATGGAATTTATTATTTCCATGAAATAAATAATTTCCAATTTAATTATAATAGTTTTATTGAATATTTATTAAAATCAATTTCTAATAAATAATCAATTGTATCAAGTTGTTGTTAGTATGACCCATTAGTATCATATGTTATTTAGCAATATCACTTTAATATGACTCTTGAGCATACTAGATCTTTCAATCTCCCACTTGCGCAAGACTCATATTAGACTGATATAGACAGTGGTGAACGTCTAGCAGCATTTCACTGCCCCTAAGACCATACGACTGTTTGTGCCATTCTATCAACGCCCAATTCCCAAAAAGCTCAAAGCTACAATTGGTGTATAAGGTAAGTTTATCAATTATCCCTTTGCTACAGACATCATGTTGAATATGAGATGCATATCGCGATCAATCTCATTAGTTGTTCAACTTTTGGTAAGGCGCCTTAGATGTCTAACTCTCAACATATAAGAGGAACAAATCTCATCTTGACTACATAAGCCTCTTGCATAGTTCACACCATACTTGAAAATGGCTTTTATAACTGCCCGATTAAGGAACAACATTTGACCATTTAAAAGCATAGTACTCCCTACACTTAAGTCCCACTATGTATCTTAGGTGTTAAGGATACAAAGATAGTACCTTTTAATCAAGTATCATTCACGATAGCGATCCATGAGATCATCTTGATGCGGCTCAGTTCAATACTAGTTCTCTGACAAGTACCTATGAAACTTGGTTACAACCACTTGCCTACTTTCATCTAGTGAGAGTCAACCAATCCAATTCATATTAGTCTTAATTTATATTTGCCCCCACAATTATAACCGACTATGAACTTTTAGAATAATAAC